CGTTGCCCTGAAGAATGCGCGCACTCAGTGGTGCGGGCATTAACGAAATACGTTACTCGCTACTTGCGAATATATACCGACCTACGTTACCTCAAATTAAGAAGAACGCGTTACCGTTTCAGATAAAAAGTAACACACGATACTTTCGTGTTACTTTTTTTAATACTGATTAACACGTTTTACTCTTTTGACGCTACAGGCCCGTCTGGATGAGCGCACTTTTCATGAAATATGCTCATGCAGTAACTTAACATTATTTTAACTTTTGCGGTTTCACATATAGGCTCACCAAAAAAAAAACATAAAGGAAAGCGCTAAAGCTCTAATATTTATATGGCTTGGCGCTTAAAAACACAAAAACGCTCAAGTAAAAATATTTTTAGGTCTTGGAAGAAGTAGCGAGTAACGTAACTACGTTACCCGATTTTTGAAATATGTAACATGAATGCGTTACCCGTTACTGCTTAAAAAAAAGTGAAGAGTAGGAATTAGTAAGTGACCGAATAAATTAATCCATTACCGCCAACACTGCTTGCACCGCTCGAGCTCGAGTGCTTGGCAAGAATGCTGAAAGCTCAGAGCTTGCTCTTAAAGCTGCTACTACGCTCTCTCTTAGGGAATATAATGTGGGCATGATCGAGAGCTGAAGAAGCCACGCTGGTTCGCTGAGCAATGCTTTTTGTGAATTGGCAGGCGATGAGGCGTTGAGTTTCGTGGCCATCCTTGTTCAAGTTCATAAAACAATAAGGGATTACATTTACAATTTACCCATGTCTAAATGTCCATGTCCCATTTCTAAAGGTAAATACTGTAAACGACTTATCTTTTTGCGGGCTCAAAGATTTCCCTATGTAGGTAAAACTGATATTATAGAACAATTCGCGGGTTCAGTTTCGTGACGCGGTGGGATCTCAATATAGGTTCCATTGTGTTTACATTTTACACGAATTGTTCGCGGGACCAGTTTTTTGCGAATTGTAGGCGATTCGCGAAATTTGCGAAAATTAGGTTCTCGCAAAAATTAAGTCGTTTACACTAAATACACTAACAATTACAATTCTAAAAAAGTAGGTGACCGTTACTTCAATAAGTAATCCGTTACTTTTGCGGAGTCACTTTTAACCATATTGTCCTAGAGTAAGACGCAAGACAATTCTTATGGAAGGGTTTATTGCTGCCGCGACTCACACTTTTGTGACCTTGAGAAACATCTGGCTCCGAGAAAGTCTCATTAGACAACTTGCCTTGTTTCTATGTGAAGACGTCGTCGCCCGCACTAAGCAACATTTTAATCCACCTTTTTCCAAATAGGTGTTATCATCTGGACACGCAAAGAGTTGCGAAAAAATAACGCGATGGCAAGGCCCCCCCTCCGCACTTGACACCCAAAACATGAGCTTTATCCTATTGGCCCATTGAGGCGTTGTGTCCTAACTACAGCTCCACAAAACTTCGCTTTTCTCACGAGTTTAGATTATCCTGCTTACTGAAGTTGATACTCTCTCTCTTTTTTTCTTTCTCGGCCAGAACAGAAGGGCATTGAGGCACACTAGAAGCAAAGAAAGGGCTATAGACAAAAAAAAAAAAAAAGGGCGCGCGCCGATCTGCAGCACCTGCTTGTGTGCACTTTGACTTTTTTATTTTGTTCTTGGTAGGAAGTACTGTAGTTGGAAGGAAGCGGTTTCAACTCGGGAGTGTGCCTAAAGGCCGTTTCAGGCACTTGCGTTTCCGTGGTTTGACTGCGTTGCGTCGAGAACCGAAAGCGAGTCACCGGCACATCTGTGCTTCGTATGAAGCGTGGAATCCAATTCAAGGAATCATCTTGGCACGCGATATGAGCAGCAGGGGTGTCCTGGTTTCTCGCTGCAGCAACGCAGTCAAACGCAGTCAGACGGAACTGTGTGAACTAGGCTTAAGATTGTTTGCACGGAGATACCGGTTCTTTGTATCTGTTTGGTTCCCACTTCCTTACGGGCGAGCAAGCTGACAGGTAACGAGTTGCAAACAACCAACCCCCCCTCCCCCCCCCAAAAAAAAAGCAATGATTTCAGTTACCTCAAGTGAAATCATTACCTTTTTTTTTTTTTTTTGTGGGGGGGGGGGGGGAACGTAGTTTTCCCAGAAATGCACTGGAAATACTGTACCTAAAGATATGTGCGTAACACACTTAGAGTAAGCTGTTATGCGTATATGATAAATCCCAATATGAAAAATGTGTTTCAGACGTATTTTTATAAATAGAAGTGCAATGCGAGAACAATACTATTCAGATATCGAAAAAGTAGTTCTCAAGCGCGTTTAAAATACACTAACGAAATGCGTAAAAAATACGGATGGTACTTGGCATGTTCGCATCGCGGGCTTGTACCCAGCTGTTGCATCAGTGGAAACGCATGCGGACTGCCGCGCGTCCCACGTGTTTCAAGTGATACTGGAGTTCCCTGACCAAATGTTTAGATCGGAGCTCTTAGGCGCCCCTTTCCGGTTTGAGCGGCGTCGGTGTAACAGCGCGTTGCATTATGGGACATTTCTGCGCTAAATTTAGCGGAAACGTCTACGCGTTATATTTAAAGAAACATTCCCTGCTAACTTTAGCAGGTTAAGTGCCTCGGCTAAATTTTGCGGGGAATTCGACGTCACGCGACCTCAATACCGATCCAGTTTCTCCGCTAAATTTGGCGGGGGAAATGACGCCACCACTTCGTGTCACATGAGCTATGAACAAATTCACTGACAGGAACAGAGGAGGAGAAAAGGAGGACGACGAGAGGAGGAGGAGGGGAGAGTACGGATGGGGAGGGGGGCAAACCATCCTCTTCGTACTCTACCCTCTTCCTCCTCAAGTGCTACGCTTCGAATTTCGCATTACAGAGATGTCTAAACGTCCTTCTTATTTTTATAAGGAGCTGGTGCACTTTCTAAATGGAACTCCATGTTTGTTTGTTTTTTTCACAAAGTAACTTAATTAGAAAGCTTCGCTATTTTGCCATTGTGTATGATTTTTGTTATCCCTGATGTTCACAGTGTCTGGTAGCTTGTTCACAAAAAAAGGTTCTACTTTCTGATAATCAATATTTTAGAAATGATTGAAAGTTTTTGCAGAAACACACGGTACAAATTATCGGGTTAATCTTTGGATCACGTAATCCTCATAGCAATATTTAAACACTGAAATGATTTCAACAAAAAAGTAGCATTCATCTACAAGTGGCAAGGTAATTTAAAAAGTTAACACACAGTGGTCTTGACTTGCTTATAAAACTTATCAGGAGAGGTTCGGGTAAGGAACCAGAGCGCCGGAGCTGAGGTCCGTCGGCATGCACTCATCCTGCGATTATCTGTCCCATGTCTTTCCACGTTACTGTAATCGGCGGGGGGATAGGAGAGGAGCGAGAACGGGAAAAGAATGTGGTAACGTGACGCGATCGCCTCCACGCGTGGAGCATTAGTTCCGCTTGGCTCTGCAATGAAGATAGCATACTGCACGTTTGTGTCCCCCGGTTCACCCCTAAGCCGATAGTTCGGTGGAAGCTACGCACTGCCGGACCAATGAAACTTTCATCAGAAGACCCCGTTTTCCGCGCAAGCGCTTTGTGTGGTCATGATCGGTTGAGCAGCGTATCGGGCAAACATTCTGCATACTTTCTTGCAGTTGACTATGCGATTGATAACCACAGTGTATGCTTATTTTTCTTTTATCACCCGGCAGCGTTCTATACATATTTCTTCGTGTTAGTAATTACAGAATATTAATTGAACGGTTCGTCACTGCAGGAGTAGAAAAATGGCCGTTTGTCATTTCGTAGGAGTTGAAAGTGATGGGGTTATGGAAAACATTAATTCCTCGACATATAATAGGAATGGAATGGCGTGCCCGTTACGCAACACAGCTCTGGTGTGCTTTCCAATGACAAGAGGCGGACCTGATATTGTGTAGTTGAGAGTACTCGTCTCCGCGGTGGTTTAACAACTTAGTTGATCTACTAAATTTGGCTCTATGCAAGACACCACGATTGCGACACGTATGTGAATGAATTTCAACACTGTAGCGCAGATCGCTAAAAAAAGGGCTTGGGATTTTATGCACTCTGACACCTTGTCAGTCTTTCTCGTGGGCTCTAAAAAGAGGCGAAAAATGATAGCTAGTTACCCAAATAATTAGAACATGTATTTAAACGAAAATATATATATGCACTCCTACTTTATGTGGTCAATTTCTGTTGCCAAAGGTTAATAACAAATCGATCATAACGGGCGCCATGAGGCAAGCGTTGTCACCCTTGTACACGGCATCAAACCAAAACTAAGCGAGTATATAGCTCCACCCCATCATGTCCGCCCTCCACCGGCTCCGCAAGCAATGCTGGCTGCAGTACAACTGCGTTTTCACGTTTATTTGTAGTCTTGCTAAATGATGACACTTGCCGCTTTGCCACACCTACCTCGATTTGTTTCAATTTCATGGCAAGGCGTATTTATATTAACGTTTTGCGTTACTTCTCTATATAAAGTATAACCCTAAATTTAAAAAAAAATTATTACGAGAATAATATTTTTAAGTGGGTTAGCTGAAGCATTAGGTCATTCCGTGTCCTTTATATTGGTTGTCGTTACAACAATTTTATGCCTATGGCTAAAAGAACCCAATCATATGTTCATCTTATTAAACACAATTTCTGGCGTGGTAAAATCACCCTTGTGCATCTAAAACATTATTGTTTTAAAATATCATTCTTTGTAAGTGAAAGCAGTTACCAGCTCAGTCTGCTGCAACCTCTAGTCTAAAACGAGTGGTATGTAAGTTATATTACAAAGGAATGAGAGCTGTGGTTATCACATATATTCAGTTATTGGAGTGGTATGCGTCACAAACACAACGTGAGTAGCTTAACAGCACAGTCTCGATTGACGAAAACATTTTATATATATGTAGAAGGATCTACATTAAACGTAATACTGGCTTTTGGTTCATTCTATGCAGATGCTGCCTGATTGCGGCGATGATCACCCTTATCATCTTGGTCGTTTCCATTGTCGTCTTACTGATTGTTTTCAATCAAATGAGCTACCAAAACTGCTTTCAAGTAGCCTTGGTGATAGGAGATGTAACTGGCACGGCGGTGAATTTCCAATACGCCGGAATTACTCATCACACCATGGCGTTTCTGGGTGTTCCTTTCGCCGAAACCACCGCAGGAGAAAGGCGGTTTCGAAAACCCGAGGTTAATAAGGGATGGCAAGGAGTGTTGAACGCAACACACAAGCGGATGCCCTGCTGCCAAAAAATCACGAAAGGCAACGAACAACTTATGTCCTCGTTAGCCAGCTCTACTGAGGACTGCCTTCATTTGAACATCTGGGTTCCGACTGATTGTATGGAGGGAATTCAGACGTATCCAGTCATCTTTTGGGTGTATGGTGGTGGTTTCGAAAATGGAGGAAACAACTACGACGTCTACGATGGCCGTTATATCTCGGCGTTTGGAAATTTAGTCGTCGTGGTACCCAACTACCGCATCAATGCGTTCGGATTTCTCAACGCTCAGACACAGGATGTGCCTGGAAACATGGGAATGCACGATGTAATTTTGGCGTATCAGTGGGTGTTGGATCATATTGGCAGCTTTGGGGGAGACAGAGAAAACATAGTCATCGCTGGACAGAGCGCGGGTTCTATAATTGCTGGGCTCCTTATGATTAGCCCCACACTACCGTCATCGTTTTTTTCGAAAGCGTACTTGATGAGTGGCTCAGTGTTCACAATGCTGCCAGAAAATTCAAATGACTTTGCACGAGAAAACTTCGATAATCTTGCTAAGGAAGCCAACTGTTCGATGACAACAACTACGAAAACTCTGAGTTGTCTTAGAGAAAAGACGAGCGAAGAAATTTTAGCTGTTCATCTAAAAACTAAGCAAATGTTCTCTCCCAGCTACTTTGATGAAATCTTACCCAGTGATATAAAAACACTAATTAAATCGTTCAATGCCTCAAATAAAACTATCCTACTTTCAACGACTCGGTCAGACGGAAGTGCTTTCTTCGAGAGCATGTTCAAGGACGTGGTTGAACAAGGATTGGAATTCTCACCTTCCATGCTTACGAAAAAATACCCCTCAGTGTTTGAGAATATAGATATGAAAATGCTTGAAATGGTGATTGCATCTTTTGGAGGTGCCTACAACATATCTCAGGACGACTACATGGGGTGGAAAGAAATCTTTACCGATGTCTTATTTCGCTGTGTAATGGAGTATATGGGCAAGCTGTTTGACAATAGAGGCGCCACTGTCTACTTCCAAGAGTTTTGGCCCAAGCCTTCTTTCGTTAACTCCAGTGGAGTCTACGCTTCCCATGCTGACGACGTCTACATGTTGTTCGGATATCCATTCCTCTATCCGTTGCTGGCAACGGACATCGAGCGAAAAACATCTCTTCGGATGATTGGTACACTGGCTGCTTTCGCCAAAGAAGGGTAAGAGCCACATCTTTAAAATATATTTCCTTGACATACCGTGTTATAGTGAATCTTGTTCATTTGGAGAAAAATATAGCCGCTTTAATAATGGTAGGTAGTGCCCAAATCTAGCGCTTTCGTGGCCTAAAAAATTATTAAACAGTTCACAAGTTCGCTATGTGCCTTATGAAAAAAAAAAAGTGGAATAAGTGTCGTTTCTCCTTGAAAGTGTCCAAGTTATTAAGGCAATGCTCGTTAAGTTTGGTGACTGTAATAAATATTTTTTTTATTACAAAGCACTAATCCAAGCGGTGCAATTTAGTGCACGTGACACGTGTTAATTCAAAAATAAAATGAATGCCCTCTTTAGTTTAGGGCATTGTGTATTGTGGTCCCTAAAACCCCTCTGCTCCTGAGTGTTTTTGTCATAAATCAGCAATTATGATGTAAGGTGTAAATCTACATTAAATCCATTTGTTCGTGCTGGCTTGTTACAAAAAATTTAGTTTATTGAAGAGAGTGCATGCAAATCAAGCTTGCTGACTTTTTTTTTTATTTTCTCGGATGTTAAAAAACACAACTTGTTTTGTGGCAAGGCGTAATGTTATCATATTAACGATCTTTAAGTTATCTTGTTTTTTCGCGTGAAAAAGGACGCCCCCAATATTTATTTCTGAAGGGCGTTGCATTGTAGGCTCTGAAAAGGGGGACCATGTCTGTCTTTCCATGATACTCCGCCGCTCCTTTCTCGCTCCGTTTCTTCCTTCAATACTTTATTGCAGTTCCACCAACACTAGCAAACCCCATACCACCAACGGCTTCTATTGAATTGCACGTCCATTGCTTCTCAGCAGAATGCCTAGGCCAGGAGATTTAAACAAGAGGTTCACTGTGACAAACGACTGTTCATCTGTCCTCTAATCAAATATGAATTATTAATTCCTCAACACTGTATTTCGTGTGTTATAGGCCTTCAGAAATAAAAGTGAATCCGATTTTGTTATCTTTTTTTTTTGTACACAAGCGTACCATGATTGATCGAATGGAAAATCTTTTCACTGCACCAGAAGAACGTTCATTTAAGGATTGCCCAGAGCTGTATCGGTAAAAATGTTGGCACATTTCTTTACAACTTTGCTGGGCACACCTACACAGCAGAAAAATGCATAACTTACTGATCACATGAACGAAGGAGAGGTTTAGATTCACATACACTAGCAAAAAGGTTATTCCGACGACAAATACATATAGTGTTGTTTTCTTTAAACTTTCGAACCATAAGTACCATTTAAACACCGATAAGGTGAACTCGTTATAAAAAAAAAAAAATATATATATATATATGTATAAATGTTCAAGGCCGAAGCATTGAGAAAGCACCATTGTCGACAAAGTAATAACACATGGCTAGAGATGTCGTTCTGCTTCAGTGCGCAGCTCTTAGGCGCCCGTTCCCGGTTGAGCGACGTCGCCGTCGGCGACGCCGTCGCCGCCGGCGTAATTGCGCGGTGCATTATGGCACGTTTCTTATCATGATGTCACACGTGACGTAAGGTGTGACGTCACGAGGGTCATCATTGACGTCACTCGTGACGTGTCACCGCGTGTTGCTATATGGGTAAATTTCCCCGCTAAATTTAGCGGGAAAATTTCCCCTTCTAAATTTCGCGGAAGAGTTTTCTCGCTAAATTTGGCGAAAAGAATTCCCCGCCGAAGTTAGCGGGGAAAACTTCCCCGCTATATTGAGCGGAACAATTCTTCTGCTGAATTTAGCCGAAAATTCTCCCCTAAATGGGAGGCGAGCAGGAGAGTAAAAGGGAAAGGTACGGAAAAGGAGGAGGGGCATTCCCTCCTCTCCGTACCTTCCCCTCCTCCTCCTCAAAATTTGCGCTCTATTTCACCGGTACAGAAAATCGTAAACGTCTAATCTTTTCTTCTTTTTGTTACGCCGAAAATATGAGGCCGCTGCACGTGCAGATGAGTAAATACGCATCACCGCGTCTCACAACACTTTGGAGTTGTACAACATGCGTACGAGGTTTGAAAACAATATTTTCAGGTAGTAAAACACCGATGAAAGCTCTACAATTTAAGCACAACCTTATCGGAGCGTGCAGCCACGCAGTACCAGTGCCACACAAAGCCGCAATCACACTGCTCATACATCTTAGGAAGGCCTTGGTGTTCGCTGTAGACATGAAAACATCATCTGCGGACAATCCTCAAGCGTGTTTCATGCATGATGTTTCACACGTTTAAAACCAGCATGCATGTCAAACACCCGTAAAACCATCATGCATTACAAAAAACTCTGCAGACCGTTTTTTTGTGAACAATGTGAGAGGTCTATCATACAAGGAAGGAACATGTCTGAGGCAGCGTCCGCAAACTGTTCTTTTAAGGTTATGGCAGTGTGGCCGCGTCATAATGCCTTACGCTAGTAGTTTTACCCTAACTAATCCTCTGTTTGTGGCTTCACGGAGTTTGATGGCCTTTGTTATTTCAATTATTTTCATAGCAATTAGATGTTTTTTTGTTTTTCTTTGTTGTCTTTTTCAGGAAGCTACCTCTACTAGAGGACGGCAGCCAGTGGCCCGAGTACTCAAAAGCTGCAGGGTTTCCAGTGATAGAACATCGCCATTCGGGCTACTCCAATCCGGAATCGAAGCGAAACTGTTTTGCTGCACAATCACTTTTAATGGTGATAAGAATGTCTCACGCTTAAAGGGGTACTCCACCGATTTTTTGAGCTACCTCAACTAACTATATTTTCTGACTCTCCGGCCTTTAGCCTTTCCGGTATGCTATGTAGCATCGCGAAATTCATAGTAGGTATTGTGAAATCGGCAAATGAAAATGGTGCAAAAACCAATATTCTAAATATTCGCGCACTTTTCAGTGCCGTGATGTCAGAGGCAGGCAGGCTTGCCAGTCGAGCAAGTAGTCTAAAAATGAAATATGCCAACCATTTGTTCCGCGCTGGAGCGCGGATTCGGGAGCGAGCTTCCAAAGCACTCATTTGACACCAAGAAACTGCTTCAAATCCGTTGGGAACAACTTCTGTAGTCCAAAAAGTTAACCCCTGCCTTCCACTGACGTCACTTTTTCATTGTTGCCAGCAGAGACTTTCAGTTTCAAAAACATGGTGAAGACCAAAACTGTAAATTCAATAACTTCGCGAAAGAACAATATTTTGACCCAATATTTGGGATACTATTTTAGCAATGTTTGTTGGTTAGTTTAGCAAAATTTCAAGCAAATCGGAGAAAACGAAAAAAACGGTGGAGTACACCTTTAACACTACTCTTTTTTGAATATATACAAAAATTCATTTGCTACTAAACGAGCGGGGAAATAACGACCACACTTAAGCGCATACTTCTATGATGTAAGAACTTCCGCTTGCACGGCGAGACGATCTAAACCTTAAAGGGATGCTGAACCGAAATTTGAATTTTCAAAACACGCAGACAAAAGCGTGCAACGGGATGCTACAAACACCAAAACATCACTTATACAGCGATATCTCGAACGGATGACTGAATTTTTCAAAAAAGGAGACGCATTTGGTAGGAATGTTGACGTCATGTTTCTCTGAGAAGGAGAGGGAACGGCCTCGCGTTTTCTCCGCCTCGCGGCCTTGAGGGAGTGAAGCGAAGAGAGGAGGAAACACGGTATAATGACGTCACGCGCCTCTTCGGCCTGGTTCAATCTCGACCTCTTTTTCCAAAAATACGGCCGTCCATTCGAGATATCGCCTTGCAAGTAGTATTGTAGGGATTGTAGCGTCCCGCCTACATCTCCTGCATTGTTTTTTTGAAATCCAAATTTCGGTTCACCATCCCTTTAAGCAAAAGTTTTTACTTTGCGTATTTCTCGTCGGCACGGGAACCGATGATAAAATACCACAATATAGTGCCTGCTAGCTCAGTGTCTAAATACGATAAACAGTCCAGCAGCAGACTATTATAACGTTGAACGGTTAGCGCCTAATCTCTCCAGGGTAATAATCGGCAAACACTATGCAGCGGCAGACCATGTAAGCAATGCTAGAGTTTGCTTCCACTCTTGATAGTCGTCACGTGCCCGCCATACGACATGTCTCGTAAAAAGCGTAACTTCGAATATCGGTTGTGTCGCCCATCCCTTTAGATATTCCATAAAAATCCAAAGTTTACGATATGTCATAGATAGTGATGAGAAGATGACTTCCATAGCTGACATGGTTTTATAATACATAACTTAGCTATGTTTTGACATGCGCTACCTAGGCCATTGATGTTGTGTTATAGTAAACAAGAGAACGTGAGGAGTTGTGTATTGCGAATTGAGAGAAAAGCCTAAGTGCGTTTGACTTAGGGTTGCTTCAGGCAGCAGAACACCCGTTCGATGGAGTCCTTATCGTGATCGCAAAATCTGGACCAACATTTAAGAAAACAGTTATTTGCACATTTCCGCTTATTTTCTTCCTTCCTTACTTAGTGTAGTCATTCAAAAAAAAAAAGGAAAACAACTCCCGCCATAGGCGAACCTTCTGATATATTTCGACAGCATTCCACTTTATTTTTAATTTCCCCACGCTTTGCTCAATAAAATGCATTGCTTAAGTCGGCCATTTAAGCATTTGCATGGGATTGCTTGTTTGAGAAAGAAACTGCTTTTAACTTGATTCTTAAAAAAATGATTTGGTGTTTAACAATCCACATTTACTGACTTGCTACATGTTCATGTTTCCGAAACGAGCTTTTGTGTTTATACTAGCTAGGTTGCACCCTCTGTAAATCATTAACGCTCCATGTTGTTTTTGTAAATACTTTAATGATACCACCAAAAGTCTGGATCCTCATACCGAATCAAATTTTTAATTATATCTGTTGTTCTCATTGCGGTTAATAATGTACCGATATTTATGGCTGTTTTGTGTAAGATTGTTTTATGAAAAACTTGTTTAGAATTAAAACAATATTAATACCTGCTTATGTATCATTCTTAACTTTGGATTCTAGGCATAATATTTGTGCG